ACTTTCTGGGTCACTGATCCAAGGTTTTATGAGCTGGGGAGAGTGAAAAAAGACGCCCGTGTCAATTCTTTGTGGTCTTTTGTAAGAATTTTAATTCGAAATGTGAATTTCTTATTAGAAATAATTATTGCCTCTGAAAAATGTCGCCTTATTCATGTGCATAATTGTTTGCACTGGTGGGATCATCAGGTTTAAAGCCTATCCACTACACCGTGATTATAGCTGCATGTCATGGTACACTACCAGGCAAGGATACTTTGATCTCTAATATAGGAGTGAGCTTTTAACGTCTATATACTGAGATAAAATGTATATACTTCAGTCTGCATATCCCGCTTATTTTATTATTATTTTATTATTAAATATTAGCCGGTATTCTCCCGGCCCGGGCCTTTTCCAAGTGGTGGCCCGGCCTTGGCTCCCTCTTTAGGGAGTGTCTGAGACCTAAGTCTCCCATGGGAGGAGGCACAAGTACCTCCTCATCTTTGGGACCAACTGTCCCCAGGCCTAGCCACAAGCTAGGCCTCTCTGGTCTGCCATCCCCGCCCCAAGGGGGCAAATGGGAATGACAGTCTTATGAGCTAAAGGCTCGGGCTCAGGCACCTACCCTACCCTAGAAGGGTTAGGCATGGTGTCGATCTGCATACCCGCCTTAATGTAATTGCATCAATTGTAAAGTTACCCATAAAATGAAAACTGAGACCAAACTATGCAAGTTTTTTAATAATATTAATTTAATCTAAAAACTAGCCAACCAAACTAACTAACTTTTAAATATTTAATTTTTAGTAAAACAATAATATGATTCTTTTGCAACAAATCTAAGAATTTACATAATATTGGTTTAGTTTCCTTGAAGAACCGTAATGTGACCTTCGTAATGTCTTATTCAGAAGAATAAACAAGAAAAGTGTCTTTAATGAATTTGCATTTGTGTAATAATCTAAGCCTTAATTACGTAACCTTGTACCAGAAAACAGAATTATGACCCCCCCCCCAAATAAAAAAAAGTTAGTGGAGGAAATCTTATTAAATGGTCGATTACCATTTTCTGTTGTGCAGACCTGTGTGTCATCAGTCATTGATTATTTTCTATACCAACAAGAAAAAGTGATATTTTGACATAATTTTGCTAATTTGTCTGTCATGTTACCCACTTTATTCTCTTTCTCTTTAGAGAAACTGCTTTTCATAATGATAGTTACACACTACTGGTAACTATTAAAATATATTCTGCTTTGTATTTTTTACGCATGTATGTACATATACATGTATATACATACATAGTCTCTTGGATGTGGCAGTGATGGAGGTAAACTCAATACACGGCTTCAAGAGTAGGTATGATAAAACCCAAGAGGCCAGGGTTAGTGATGCCTGTCAGTGGTTTAGGAGGCGGGGCCAGAAGCTGAGTATCAACCCCGTAGACAAAACCATGATTACATTATTCTTCCCTCGTCCCTTCTCCAGTCTCCGTTTCAATTCTTCCTATCATTCCTTCCCTGTCTCCTCGCCCATTCATTTTTCTCTCCTCCGAGTCTCCTTTCCTCTCTTCACCTTCCCTTCCTTCTGGACTTCCCTCCCCTTACCTTCCCACCATCCTACCCTTCTGTCGCCTCTCCCTACTTCCCTCTATTCTCTGACTGGTTCTCTCTCAAACCCTCTTCCCAAGCCCTCTCCTCTGCCTCTATTCTTCCCTTCCCATTTTTCCTCTTTCCCTTTCCTCTCTTCTTTACCTTCCTCTCTTCCCTCCCCTACTGTCTCCCCCTGGTCTCTCCCCACATGGAGACCGTCCTACAAGGACCCTTGCAGTGGGCCTAACCAAACAATCATATAATCGTTCATTTCTGTCTGTCAATCACCACAGGTGGTCGGGAAGACACGACCATTCTGCCCACTTACATTCCCGTAGCCTGGGTAATTACCTGTACTCCGCCAGGGGAAACTCAAATTAGATGTGCATCTTTCCCGATGCCTCGAGTCTTTCGAGACCTTGAACTCGAGGAGAGTTTGACATCCCGTCTTTAAAAATTAAGGTGGTCAAGAAACCGGAGCCGCTATTTGGGGGAGGTGGATCGAGCCGTCATCTTAAGCATATCGTTCCTATAATTTCTTCAATAAATGCACGGCTTGTAAATCTAATGTTAACTTCTACGAATCGTATATATGTGTATAATTTATGTATATAATTTATTCGGTATTAAAGTGTGCTTGACTTTTAGTGAGCAGGTGACATGCACCCTTCAAACACTTTTTAACCAACCTAGTCTCGGCAAAAAGCTATTCACTATCATACGTTCGACGTATGCCAGGCCCTTCCTAGAGTACGCAACACCAGCATGGAACCCACTGAGGTTCGTAACGGGACAAGTCATGGAGCTAAGGGGACTGAACTAGAAACAGTGACTGAAAATAATAAACGTGAGCAACTTCAGAAGATACAATGACAAGGAAACCCATGATTGTGTCTGAAAGCTTCCACGTCCAATCCTAGGAAGTAATCCTTTAATGCTTCTGATAGATACACAAATATGTATTTTAAATTATCTTTTTTTTTTTTACACAAGGTTAAAAACAGTATCCTCATTTCTTCCCTGTTTGACATGTCATCCAAGTCGTTCCTCTTGGTTCCCTTTTCATCTTCAGAGTTCAGAAATTTCCTCATTGTTCTTTCCTCCTGTATTTTTTTCGTAGCTCTCTCTCCTATATTTTTATTCCTCTCTGCTCCTTTCTGAACTCAGTTATATGATCACCTGCGATCAGCAGTGTGTGTGTGTGTGTGTGTGTGTGTGTGTGTGTGTGTGTGTGTGTGTGTCTGTGTTTAAAAATTATGAGTTACGTGGTATAATGCCTTAATAAATACGCCAAGCAATTATCCATAATTAACTTTTAAAGGAAGATGCCTCAGGCTGTACCTAAATACTTTCATTAAAGTAGGATTCGTATACACTCCTCGGCCTGGTCTCAGACCG